AGAATTATGCATGGGGTGTTGAGGCAGCAGACAGTTGGCGAAGACGTTCTAGTTACCGTCCTGACCAGGGGCGGATTTAGGGGGGGCCGGCCCGGCCCCGGCCCCCCCTTTTGGGAGGTAAAAAAAAGGGGAAAAAATGAAAAAAAAGAGAGAAAAAGAAAAAAATGATAGCCCAGAATGCCTTAAATGTTATGTTCGGGCGTCTAGAACACAAAAAAATCGCGGGGGCATGCCCCGGACCCCCCTACGACACTGTTGTCTCAATCGGCCCAACTTTCGGCCCCCCCTTTTGGACATTTCTGGATCCGCCCCTGCTGACGGAAGTAGAATCCATTCTTAACTCTAGACCACTTACAGAAATATCTCAAGATCCAAGAGATGAAGAACCGATAACACCAAACCACCTATTGCTTCTTAGGAAAGGTCCCGATGCTCCTGTAGGTAATTCCATAGATAGATCAGCATCTTATGGGAAGAAACGTTGGTTGCAGGTCCAGTACCTGGCTTCATTATTTTGGACGCGATGGCGTAAGGAATATCTTCCGCTGCTACAGAAAAGAAATAAGTGGACTACGCCTAAGGAAAACGTAATGGTCGATGATCTAGTACTTCTAGTTGACGAGACGACGCCCAGAGGTAGATGGCCTATGGGCAAAGTAGTTCAAGTGTACAAGAGCAAAGATGGCCGTGTACGAAGCGTAGATGTTAGAGTAAACAATAATGTATTAAAGCGTCCAGTCGTGAAAATCTGCATCATATACCGATCCTCTATAGTTAAAGTGTAAAATTCCCTTTGAATTTTACAGGGGGGTGTGTTAGAGGTTTCATAAGGTACTTTAGAGGGCGACATCGTGTGTCGTCACTTGTCACGTGATTATGTGTGACATCTTTGGCTTGGGTCAGTGGCGTCCTGTAAGCGAGCGGGATTTGACGTGTTTTTGAACCATTCACCTGACATTCTGATCATGTACATTTTATGGTATGTTGTTTCTTCATTTTATGTACGAATTAGCTTTATATAAATGATTACATATGCAGTGTTATATGTATTTGGATAATGTAGTGATTGTCTTAATTAGTTCGTACCCCACTGTGCGAATCTAGCGTGGGTGCTCTGATAATTTGCGACCGATGCTTGTGTCAAAGGTCAAATTCAATGTAAACAAACATGGCTGCGCCCATAGGATTACGGTAGTGAGGCTATCGAGATTGCTTAAGCGTTTCGTTAGCATTGATTATTATTACAGTATACAATTATATATTGTTATGATTTATTTTACATGATTGTTATCTAGCTTCTTTATTATGACACGTTTATATTATAAGCCTACTGAAGTTTGATTTAGTATGGTTATATGGTAATTTCTTTAGCGATTGTAATTGTACTTGCTATCTGTAGTTACTGCTACGTGATAATATAGTTCTGAGAAACTATTACTGTTACTATGTCGATTATAGTA